TCCGAAGGCTCCAGGGAGGAGCCTCCCATGCCTCCCAGCCCTCCTGGCGGCCCTCAGCTTGAGGCTGCACCTCTCCAGTCTCTGCCTCCATCGCCCCTCTGTCCTCTCCTTACAGGGCCAGCAGCCGTGCAATTGGGGGCCATGCCGAGTCCAGGACAATCTCATCTCAATATCCTTACCTAATTACATCTGCAAAGAACCTCGTTTCAAATAAGATCATGGTCTGAGACTGCAGGGGGACCTGAACTGGGGGCTTGCCAACTGGGCAAGCACCAATATGGCCTGTGGGACTGAGCGCCAGCCTGCCTGCTGGGTAAACAGGATGGGTAAACATCACTTGCTGGTCCCCACCTGCCCCCTAAGAGAGTCCTCTCCACCTCTACCCACACAAGCCTTCATTCTCCAGGCCTCTCCCCAGCACATGACTCGGCAGGAAGAACACCCCTGTTCGGCCTGGCCACCAGCAAACGACCTTGACTTTTATGTGTATGTGAGTGTTGGGTCCTCGGGGTGGGGAGGATGTATAAGGAGAGGGGTGGAGGGCATCTCTGCCCTAACCCCCCACAGCTGACTTCAGAGGAGGTGAGAGCTGGGGAGGCTAGGAGATCTCAAAATGGTCAAAGTGAAAAAGGCAGACAGCTACTGCTCCAGACGGAGTGGCTTCAGGGCCAGCTATGCACCACAGACAAGTTCTTTGACATCTCTGAGCTCCTTGACATCTTATCTGTCAGGGCAGAGGATACCACCAGTTCTTCAGGTTGTCATGAGGATCCAAGCAGGTGGCATGTCTCAGGCTCCGGGAACCCGGACTGCTGTCATCACAGAGTGGTGGTGATGGATGGCCATGGTCACTCATGGGGATGGACAGGTGGGTACTCAGGGTACAAGGGCCACAGTACTGGCCTCCAAGTGTGCATCCCCAGACAGCATTTTGGGCCTCTGTGCTGTAGGTGCCAGGCAAGAGTGGAGGAATGGACCAATGGATTCCAGTCCCCACTGTCACTCAGAACTTTGGACAGCCCTCCTCAGGCTGACCCTGGGTCTCCACTGGCCGTAGCAATAGAGAGGGCAGGTTGCCCAGGCACAGGTCTGGCTCAGTCACGCCCCGTGGGAGCAGGCTCTTCTCAGACCTCCCTGCTCTCTGTTATATGGGAAGGCACCCTGGTCCCTGCCAACCAGTCCTGCAAGCACCACTGTGGCGGCTTCCTCTGTGACCTGGGTCAGCACACACAGGCTGGGCTTTCCTGGGGCTGGAGAAGAGAGAAGCCGGCAGGCCAGCAACTCCTGCAAGCTGCAGCCCACAGAGCTGTCCAGGGTCCTGGCCGAGTATCCCGGCCTGTTCGCTGGCAGCCAACCCTGGCAGCACCCCCTTGGTGCAGGTCTGCCAGACAGGCCAGCTGTTTCTTTTCAAACGTAACACCGGTGCACCCAGTGCAGCTTAGGCATGGTGCTAGCTGCACCTGTGCTCACAGCCTTACGGGGTGGCTAGTTCAGAGGAAGGCCTCTTTCCAGCTGTGGGCAGCGCAGTGGGAAATAAACTGAGCTTCCTTACTGCTTTCCATGAAAATGCAGCTGCTCGTAAGGCCTGGAACAAAATGTCTGGACTCCTGGAGCATTTGCCCAGAGCCCACATGCAGACCTGCTCCCAGCTGTCCCTGTTCCTGACTGAATGTCACTTGGCTACATCTGTACTGTCTCGCTGGACATGCTGGACACACTTAATTCATCTTCAGACAGGGTGGAGAAAACCGGTGAATCCAACTCACTGCTGAACAGCATTGCTAGGGTCTGGGGGCCACACACCGAGCTGTGCAATGTGGTCCTGCATACCTTGAACACATCACCCTTGGTGACACAGCTCCCAGAAACTCCAGGCGCAGAGGCAGGGAAGACCAAGGCTAGACCAGGAGCAGAGGGAGTTGGGCTGGACCACAGACAGAAGCTGCAGGGCTGGAAAGAGTGAGGGCCACAGTCCCTGAACAGCAGAGACTGCTGGATGAAGGAGCCGTTGCAGGCCCGATCTCACTACAGATGGGAACCTGGTGCGAGGGGGTGTTCCAGGGACAGGAAGGACACAGGTAAGCACCTGAGCTGCCCTCCCTGCCCTGCCCTCAGCTGGCAGCCACAGCTCACACCACTCCCCACCGGGACCCGCTCAGAGGAAGCTGAGGATGGGGGCTGGGGGCTCAGGAGGCCTTGGGCAACACCGAGGCCACTGACTCCTCAGAACACTGCTGCCTTCTCCCCGTTCCGGGTGGAGGCCTCCTGTCCACTCCCACTATCCCCTCCGCTCTGTACCCTTGTCGACATTACCCCCTCACCTCCGAGGGTGGCAGCAACTTTCCCAGCCCCACCAGGAGTCTCAGAGCTCTCTAAGGCCAGGGGGCCACCTGGCAGGAGCTGAGTTGCAACCCTGGCTTAGGGGCCACAATTTCTCCATCTGTGAGATGGGAAATTGACTTTTCAGTGCCTTTTTGGCTGATGCTGAGAGGTGAGCTTACATTCCAGATAAAGACACTGAGGCCGGAGAGGTTCGATTGCTTGTTCACTACAGACGGAACTCAAGCCGAGGCCTAAAAACCACACTTTCTCCAACAGACTGTGATTGTTAGGTGTGTTGTTGCCTGGAAACAGACCACACTGCAGCCCCCCGGCAGGGTCTACACACATCTGCTTGGGACCCTCGCTGTGATGCCTTCCCCAGGCAAAGATCCAACACTGCCTGCCTTCCCTCCAAGGTGGGCTGGGAGGTTAGAGGCTACATTTAGTCACCTGTGGGCAGAGCCCGGGACCCCAGAGGGACCGGCTCTTAGAGGAAGAGGCTGCACTGGCACTGACACTGTGTGTCATGTCACTGCAGGCCTCAGACTATGGGCTTGTCAAAGGCTGATGAGAGTGGCAGTGCACGCCCATAATCTCAGTACTCGGGAGGCTGAGGTCGGAGGAGCACCATGAGTTCCAGGCCAGCCTGAACTACATACTAAGACCCTATCTCAAAAGAAAAAAAAATAGGCTGATGGGAACTGTGCATTTGTGTCTATGGAGGTAAATTCGTGTGCATATGTACACTCATGTGCAGGCGTGTACTTTAGCCACATCCCCCCTGGTGTGCTGTACTGGGCACATCGATGCCTCCCCTGCTGACACCTGGCTGGCTTCACTTTTCCAGCTTAGGAGGAAAGCAGACTGGGTGCATGTGCGTGCTCACTGGAAGGAGCATAGGGAAAGACCCTGGAGGCTCAGGGCCTTACAGATGAGTCCAGCCAGCACTCAGAGCCTAAGCTGGCTCTGCTGAGCTGGATGGCACGATGTTGATGTGCAGGATCTGCAAGGTGGGGATGTCTCCATCTACCATAGTCTGTGGCTTGACCTTCATCAAAGATGCCCCTAGGGCTGGCCCAGCGGGCAGAGCCTGGGCTATGTGAAGCACAGGGAGGGCCACGTGCTGTAGGGCCTCATAGGTCACTATCAAGCTATCAATTACGCTCATTGTGGGGAGGTGGCAGGTGTTTGGAGGAGCCCCAAGTAGAGGTGACTCTGTGCTCACGAAGAGCTTTGGGAGACCCCAGAGGCTGGAGAAGCGCTGTGCTCCGGCCCTGACCATCCTCCCCAGGGGGCCAGGTGCAGCTAGGTGCTACCCACCAGGGTGGGCGCTCACCCCTGGGGCAGGAACCGAGAACAAACAGCACGGTGGCAGATGAGGCTGGTCCTTGAATGGGCTGAACTATTTCTAGAGTGCTCAGAGCCTGGGCCTGATTTAAGCCTCTTCCTCTTCCCGCTCTCTAGAAATAATTAAGGGGTAAGTGGTTCAAGAGGGAATTGAGTGGCGCTTCTGAAGTAGCTCAGAGCAAACAAGCCCCCAGAGAGGCTGGGGCACCTCCCTGCCAGCCATGCCACCCATGTGCGGAGCCTGGCTAAAGCCTAGTAGCTTTGTCTAGCTCCTCCTGGGCAGGAGCTGTGCTCCAGGTTCTGCCGGGGCTCACAATCCCACTCTGACTGGGTGGGGGCTGCAAACCCACCAGGCACATCTGGGAAGGGGAGGTGCGGGTGCTGCCATCCCCACCGTGTGATGGATGCTCTGACATGGAGGCTGTACAGGGAGACACCTGCCTGAGGCAGGCCCCACTTGGTGACAGGGACCAAGGCTCCAATGTGCCCAGAGAAGCCACAGCCAGGCCGACAGTTGTTCAGGACCAGTGTAGGAGGCCCTGAGGCCTGCAGCTTGGAGGCAGCTGCCAGGCTGGGCATGGGGCCGGCACTGGACCAAGCAGGAGGCCAGACGCAGAGCGAGGACTGCAGTCAGGTCCCCAGCAGGTGCGAGCAATGGTCAGGTCTGGTGACTGGGACAGAAGCATCCCGGACGCTGGGGCTCTGCACCTGTGTCTGGCAAGGCCCTGAGGAGGAAAACTAGCAATGTCTCCTGGGAGCAGGTGAGTCTGGCTCCTCAGAGAAACATCCTCACACTTGTGAGATTGCACACCAGCCGTCACGGTGTGGGCAATGCTCGAGCCCACGAGGCAGGCTGTACGCCTGTCTGACCCCTCTTACCTCACCCTGCCTGCCTGTTAGGTGGGGTATTATGGACTGCACATTGTGTCCCCTTCCCAGATTCTGTGTTGAAGTTCTGACCCCTGATGTGATGGTATTTGGAGATGCAACATCTGGGGAATAACTGGGTTTAGATGAGGTTACGCGAAGAGTCCTCACCAGAAACGGAAGCCACCAGACCTCAACCTGGGACTGTGACTCACCGAGAGTGAGTCCCTGATGTTTAGTCTCCCAGGCTGTGGGGCTTTATGAAAGCAGCCTGAGCTAAGATTTGGGGATGCTAAGTGGTTGCCGAGGTGACAGAGTGCTGGCATTGTAGGGGCTGGGAATGCAGGGACAGGAACAACCCAGGTGTGCCCCCGCGTGCCTGGGGTTGTGCTGGGAAGCAGGAAGTCCAGCCCCGTTCGGACATTTGTCAGAATCCCACCTGGCCCGCCTTGCCCGCCACCTACCTGAATCATGTACAGCTGGGCAATGCGGTACTCCTCCACGGTCATCGGCAGAGGGATCCGGTATTCCTTTATGATCATCTTGGAGTCCGGGCCTTCCCGCCAATGCGGGAACTGTGAGTGGGGACTTCTAGGCGAGGTTCCTTAAATGACCATGACAGAATTCAGTGAGGCCCCCTGAGAGAGAAAGAAGACAGGACAGTCACTTTCTACAGGGATAGTGGCTGTGACAGCATGGAAGAGAATCCCGGTCTAGACCTCAGGCTGGGATTCTGGTCTAACCCCATCCTGTGCTGACAGGACAGTGTGACCTCAAGCAAATTCTTTGCCTCTGTGGCCTCTGTTTCCTGGTTTGCTAAGCAATCTTGGAGCGCTGTGGGCAGGAGTGAGAGCGGGTGTAAACTCTCCCATCTACAGCCACAGGGAAGTAAAGGACCCTGAGCCTGCTCTGAAGGTGGGCAAAAGGGTACCGTGCTCTTGTTTAACTCATAATCCTAATAAGCTGCAGCCTCAGTTTCCCTGCACGTTACAGGCAGGCCTGTACTGAAGCGACAACAATGGCCAGTCCTGGGAAAGAAGGCAGGGGACATAGAGTAATGAAATACGTAACAAAATGCAGACATAAGTCAGCAGGCTGAGGCTCTTCAGTGTGGGGCAATCAGTTCTGCTCATGTCACCAGATACAGGCAGCATCTCTGTTCTGGCAGAGAACAGTGACCTCAAGTTTAGTTTCTGTTCAATTCAACAATATGCACTTCCTGGCACCTCTTGCATTGCCGACGCTGGGGCAGGGCTTGGAGGTAGAAGAGATAAACAAGACAAGCAAACACAGTGCTCATGGCAGCTTCTTGTTAAATGACAAAGAAGATATTTGATGATGCTTTGTACCTAAAGCAATCAAATTACAAAGATGAACAAGCATACTTCAGTGCCCGAAGGAGACACACTCCCAGTTACCAAGAACACAACGCCACCGTCACCCATGCCCTGGTAGCTGAGCCTTTGTTATAAATATCGTTTGGCGACTTCCACAGGTTCCTCCTTACTCACTGGGAGCTGAGTGGAGGCTTCTGAGATGGGGAGCAGCAGGATTAGGATAGTATTTTAAAGACACCACTCTGAGAGGGGAGTGGTGCTGCATGCCTATAATTCTGGCTGATTGGGAGGTTGAGGTGGGAAGATCACAAGTTCAAGGCCAGGCTGGACAATGTGGCAGAACACTGTCCTGAAGTAAAAGAAGGCTAGGGAGGTAGCCCATCACTCCTTGGATTCAATCCTCGGTATCACAAAGGAGACTGGGGGGCAGTCAGTGAGCACTTCTGGTACCCTGGACAGGGTATGGCTAACTGGTAAGAGAGAGGCTGACCAGACAGGCATCCTCGCCAGGGCTCCATCTACGCAGGGTCTGAGTGCATCACCAGTATGGGCCCACATACTGTGCTCAAGTCTGGCTGGACACTGAGGCCCTGGGAGCGGGTAGGGACAGCCCAACAGCTCCTGGGCTGCACCTCATCCTATGGGAAAGTGAGAAATGAGCCCCGCTTGGCGAGAGTACCAGGGGATCCAAGGCTGAAACCTGCGTCATTTCCATCTCGACAAGAAAGCAGCCGGGCACATGGTCAGGGAAACTCCTTCCACACATGAAGCAGAGAGACCCCTATGCTGCGGAGAGGTCGGATGGAACTAGGAATGGACATGGGAAAGAAAACTGAGGTCAACAGGCATTCAGAGCTCTTCGCTGTGGTTCTTCATAGGGAAGCCCCAGGATCTCTGATCTAGAAGGCTGGACAGAAGCCACTGCAGAGGAGGTGCTGTGTGGCACCCACACTCATGGCTTTGGGGCCTCAGGTGTGTTCCCTCACACTGGGACCCTCAGTGAGCTTCAGTCAGTCCTGTTCCTCATCTGAGTCAGGAAGGGCTCAGGACTCTCCGGATGTTCCTGGAAACCCTAGGGGCTCAGCTCTTCTTCCCTCTTAGGGTCCCACCTGCTCCCTGGGAGTGGCTGCCCAGGAGCACTCACACCCACATAAGACTGTCCTGAAATCCTGGATTCCCAGCCCACCAGGCCTGGCTGCAGGCTCCTGGGGTCAGGGGCGAGGCAGGACCTGCAGGGCTGGGCTGAGCATATTGATGGCCTCTGGCTCCTCCTATGGCCGCCAGGGATGAAACTGCAGAGCCTGGCCAGCAGCAGACTCGGGCTTGGATTCTGGGTTTCAGAGGCTCTGCGAGCACATGTGCAGAACAGTCCACAACAACATCTTCCCGAGACACCTGTCAGGTAAGCCGTGATCACACCGTGTCCTCTCCGCCACATGCAGGCAGAGAGGACACCAAGCCAGAGGACCCAGAGGCCCCTTGGTGGCTCCAGCCACGCAGGGAGAGCTGGGCTAGTGGCAAATCTCAGGGCCGACCAGGGTTGCTGCACAACAGTTCCGAGGACCATCACACAACACAGAAGGTAGGACACAATTCCATCTACGCTGGGTTGGAGGAAAGGCACTGTGCTTCCGCCCACAAGGAACCAGACAGCGAGGGAGGTAAGCAGGAGGCAGGCGGACACATTGATAGAAGGGAACAAAAAATAGTTCAGTGCAGTTACAGCTAAGTGCACAGTGACTAATAGCAACAGAGAAGACTCAGCTCCGAGAGTGACGCAGAATGTGACAGGAGCGCATGGTCTGGAGTTCCCTCTGGGATGACTGTGGCTTGACCAGGCCTCCGCTCGCTGGGCGGCCTCCTGGGAGCGGTGGCTGTACTGGCTGTGCCTTGGTCTCTCCAAATACAAAGTGGAACTAAGACACCCGACCTCCAGAGTTACCGTGAGTGCTGGGGGAGGGTGCCTCAGGTACTGGGGACTAGGCTTCCTAGCAGTCATGGGGCTCTGCTCGCAGAGCTGGGAGCAGGTGTGAGGACACAGTCAATAGCAAGAACAAAGGCCCTGTGGCAGGTGTGTGCATCCCCAGAGCATCCTCCCACTGGCACCTCCCTAGCAGGGGCACGCTGTGTCCTGGTGAATCGGGGTAGGCATGCCATCCACAAGCCTGTGAGGGTCAGTGCCAGGTGTGGGGCAGAGCATGCATGGTGAACCAGGACTGTCACTGGCTTCCGGGGTCCCCTTTCCCTGTGGGGAGAAGAGACATACCAGATAAAGAAGCAGGTGCCAGGTGGCACATTTCCGCAGTGATGCCTACATCGTCCTGAGAAGCAGCTGTGGGAGGCCTGCGCCCTTCCTCTTAGGGAAGGCTCTGGTGCTCAGCACCCTTGCAGGACCACCCACCCCGCCTCCCAGGAGCAGCTTGGGAAATGACTGATTTCTGAGCTTTGGCCATTAGGGAATCCTTTCTAGGAGCTCGTGGTTTATTTTTTTTATTTTTTTGTCTTTTTGAGACAGGGTCTCACTATGTACCCCAGGCTGGCCTGCAACTCATTGTGATCCTCCTGCCTCAGCCTTCTGAGTGCTGGAATTGCAGGTGTGTGCCACTGTGCCCAGCTAGGAACTCATGATGAAGGCGCCAACAGTCCATCCACCCAAGCCCTGGCCTTTCCTTATTCAGGAGGACAGCGGGCCTGCTTCTTCCTAGCTGCACCAGCGATGGTGCACCTGGTGGCCTGCTGGAAATGGCCAGTAGGAGCATTTCTCCTCTACTCTCCTCACTCGAAAACAAGACAGGGAGAGAGCAGTCACACATCGCTGGTAAAACAAGACGGCTACACCACAAGCCCCAGCCCAGGCCCATGACATCTGAGCTGGTGGGAAGGACCGTGCTGAGAGTCAACACCCGCTGCCTTGGACCCCAATACATATCATGACCCTCTCTTTGGAATAATGAGGTCAGGAGCGGGGATGTAACAGGAATGATCAGGACGGAGCCCACTTGGTCCTGCGCATTAAGGACAACGCACATCACAAGAGGGGTCATCCAGAGAAATGGGTAAGACACAAACCGTTCTCCATAGACTCAAGGAGGTTACAGATACAACCCCTTAATGTTGGTGGGCACACAGGGAATGGAAGAAAAGACAGAAATTCAGTGTGTTGCCGAAGCAAGCACACAATACATAGAAAAAGAAATTCTTCGACGATAGACATGAAGGCTGAAAGGTAAGCTAGGTGACTCGGGGGAAAGGGGAAGAAAAGTAAATGCATCACAGATACTTTTAAAAAGCTACATTGGCCAGGGATATAGTTCAGCAGCACAGTGCCTGCATGGCAAGTGTGAGGTTATGAGTTTGATTCCCAGTACCACAAAAAAATAAATAAAAATAAAAAGCTATATTGCCCAGCACTCAGCAGAGGCAGAAGGATAGATGAGAATTAGAGGCCAGTCTGAGCTACATAGCGAGAACCTGTCTCAAAAAATCAAAATAACGCCTGTAATTCCAGCTCGGGAGGCTGAGGCAGGAGGATTGTTGTGATTTCAAGGCTAGCCTGGGCTACAAAATGAGTTTAAAACTAACCTGAACTGCATAGTGAGACTCTGT